ACTGTTAATACTGAGTGAACAATGACTTGGCTAAAATTTACTGCAGGAGTTGAAACTGGGTTGTTAAAGTGAAAAAAGCAAATCACATGRCAGCCAGCAACTCAATGAAACAGGCCTTGGTAGAAATGATGATACCTCTGAAAAAATATGTGACCAAAGGGACATGTTAAATCAAGGTGTGTCCACTAATTAGCACGACAGGTATCTACAATCTTGTAAATCAGTCAGCGGGCCTGTATATAGGGCTACAGATACTCACTGTGCTGTTTGGTGACATGGTGTGGACCACACTCAACATGGACCAGAGGAAGAGAAGAAAAGAGTTGTCTCAGGAGATTAGAAAGAAAATTATAGACAAGCATGTTAAAGGTAAAGGTTATAAGATCCTCTCCAAGCTGCTGGATGTTCCTGGGACTACAGTTGCACATATTATTCAGAAATTTAAGATACATGAGACTGTAGCCATCTTCCCTGGACATGGCCGCAGGAAGAAAATTGATGACAAATCAAAGAGACAGTTAATACAAAGGGTAACAAAAAAGCCCAGAAAAATTTCTAAAGAGATTAAAGGTGAACTTCAAGCTCAAGGAACATCCGTGCCAGATCACACCATCCGTCATTGTTTGAGTCAAAGTGGACTTAAGGGAGACGACCAAGGAGGACACCAAATCATAAAAAAACAAACTACATGTTGGCAAGACACAAAGCTTCTGGGAGAATGTCCTCTGGACAGACGAGACAAAAATTGAACTTTTTGGCAAGGCACATTATCTCTATGTTCACAGAGGGGAAAATGAAGCATATGAAGAAAAGGTCACTGTTCCTACTGTGAAACATGGAGGAGCTCTGTTATGTTCTGGGGCTGCTTTGCTGCATCTGGTACAGGGGGTCTTGAATCTGTGCAGGGTACAATGAAATCAAGACTATGTGCTGCCCAGTGTCAGAAAGCTTGGTCTCAGTAGCAGGTCATGGGTCTTGCAATAGGATAATGACCCAAAACACGCAGCTAAAAACACCCAAGAATGRCAAGAGGACAACATTGGACTATTCTGAAGTGGCCGTCTATGAGCCCTGACCTAAATCCTAGAACGGAAAGCTGTGGTAAATAAGGAGCTTCAGTTTGTATGATCGAGTTTAAATAGTTGGCAGAAAGCCCTAAAGACGCTCCGCAAACAGCCCGTGTGACTTGGAATTTAATTTAGGAGCAGCATCAGTTTAATAATCTCTACAGACATCAGGAAACCACAAAGCAAAAAGGAAACAGCATCAAGCAGAAAATATTAAGAGCAGTTGTTGGTAGAAGTCAAAGTTCTGACATTTGTGATTTTGTCCTCAGAACGTGCTTTTTCCCAAATGTCCTTGAATGCAGCATTAGTATGCAGCACTAAAAAACTGCCGAAACGCAATAAAACTTTTAGATATTGTCCCACAGCCAGGCCTTATTGAGCCAATGTGTGACAGAAGAATAATAGTTGTGATCCCAAGAGTTGCTACATGATGTGCAGAGCAGGATTTTAACACACTGGTCCAGCTCACAACAACAATGTGCTCAAAAAGGATCAGTTCCAGCTGTTCCTCATCAAACACAGATGAGAGAACTGGTCCAATGAAAACCAAGCATCAAATGTGCACAAAGAGCTGAAGCATTTTCGTCTATTTTGTCTAAAAAAAAAAGTAGGTTTCAAACCCAGGTTTTCTTAACTCTTGTTCTCTGCAGCTTCAACAACAGAAATTACTCAACAGCATGCAGTTTCACAAAACATCCGAGTCGGAGCCGGTACTGTTGACCTCTGACCTAAATAAGCACATGTGAGCGGAGGTCAGGAATGTGGGGCTCCTGTGCTAATTGTATGAATATCTGGGAGTTGGTGTATTGTGTACTCGCACAGAGTTCTGGAAACCCGAGCCTGGTTCTGACTGAGCTCACCTCTTTTCTCAAAGCAGTGGAAGATCCACAAACAGTCCAGTGACAGATTCCTGCAAACAGACGTCTGACCTGTGGCGGACGGGTCATTGTCCTGTCTGAGGGTCACCGGGAACACAAAAATTTACTTTTAAATGGGATTTTAACATGGTATCGTTCTATTTTTGCCTCTGCAAGCAAGTTTAAAAGTTTAATAATTTGAATAATTCTAAATGAGATAGAAGCTGAAAATTTCCACACCAATGCAATGTTTAAATTTCATCCGAACGTTCATCTTGTTGACTCAGATTGTAGTTGGAGACATACAAAGCAGGCCTCGTTTCAGTGGAAATGTGGCCCACATCGATCAGTATTCACTACACGTTTATTCCAAACCATTAAACACAGCTTTTAGCTTTTACCAAACTGAAGTTTCCAAACCCCGAGGCTTCTGTTGCCCCTCTGCATACAACTTACTCTTTTAAAACTTTTCTAAAGGTTGAACCGGAATCAGCACAGTTAAAAAACCTCAGTGGAAATCCTCTGCAGCTTTTTACTKGTCTGCTTCCAGCTTTATCTAAATAAGTCCTCTAAACCAGTGGTTCCCAAACTTTTTATCTCCTGACCCACAAAATATCCATGGCGAAAACTTGTGACCCCAAAT